TCAATAAATATTCCCTATAAGCTAATAGGTACACCGTACCATACTGTTAGTCTCTTTGATGCTCGCCAGTCTGAGGTCTGCCCAAATGCAGTTGCACCAATTTCATAGTCGTTCTGCCCAAGATACCACCCTCCTTTTCCTGGCAAAACCAAAATCAATACTCTCAAATCATACTCAGATCTCGTTTATTTTTGAGGACCTCACTAGTATGGCAAATTTTCCATACTGAAAATGTTAGAATACTCCGATCTTGTTTAGTCACTTTAGTGTTGGATTGAAAAATTCTCAGATTAAAAATGTTTGAAGATTTCTAAAATACGTAATAGAACTTTTATATTACCTTCCTTCCAAAAAACATTGAAAAACTGTACATTTTTATTATCAATCATTAATTAGGAGGTGGGAAAAAATACCGAAAAATCGGTATAACGTACTTATCGTACCGAAAAATACCGGAAAATACCGGAATATTGGTATACCGTCATTTTCGGTACGGTATCAGTAAATGTTTTCAAATACCGCAGTATACCGGCATAATACCCTACCCATCAATTACTTTGAATTGTAAAATATTGTAAAAGTCCATTACAACTTTGAAGCTCAAAATTAATACTTATGTTGTTTACAAATACAAAATACAGAGTACAAAAATAAAGGTCTAATTTCCTAAACCCATATAACCTTTTAGGCTTCTACTACGTAACATTCAAACAAATTTACTCTAATGACTAATGAGTAATGTACTAATGTCCAGAACCAAGTCCATCTTGTTCCAATAGCTTGCGAGTCACGATATATGGTTATGCCGCTGAGTAGCTGACGAGTGAAAAGGGATACACTTATGTGACAAGTGTATCTACATAGAAATTCCGTGAGTCGAGGTACAATTTTTTTCGAAAGTCTTATTCAAATTTTTTTTTTAAATTATAAAAATGACTAAATACACAATATCATATTAGGAATAAATGATTTTATATCAATTTCATTTGAATTTTTTATTTATTTTTGTTAGAGATCACTGTTGTTTTAATTATATCTATATTGTTTGAATTATTTTAGGGGATTGTGTTATTTTTTAATGTGACATGTTGAACTACTTAAATTAAATACTATGTATACTAATATCAATAATTGTTCAATGTTGAATATGACATCAATAGATTATCAATTGTATTTAATTTGTAATATTTTAATAATGGATTTAATATGTCGCTAGTCACACCGGTTTAGTATATTTCGTTAGTCTAAGATAATTTGTTGTATTGGGAGACATGGACGGTAATTTACCGATACCGTACCGTTATCGAACCGAAACTTCGGTATACCGCAATGCGGTATACCGAAACTTCGGTAAAGTAAAGGTATGCAAATTTTGAATACCGAAAGTTTTGGTATGACAAAGGTAAGAGAGAAAATATTCCGTATACCGTACCGAACTACCCTATCATTAATAATATAGATATGATATGTAAATGTTGTCTATTAAAAAAAAATCATAAAAGCATAATATTTATAACTTTCATAATGATATAATCCGTAGTAATAAAAACCATGGTTCCAATTTTATGAGTTGACAAAGTTCCTGCCTTCCTGGGATGTAAATAGTTTTTTTTTCTCAAAATAGGAGTAATATGACAATATTCACTCTATCTTAGAGTCAATACTCCTAAAATAGTTGGAGTACTACGCTTAAAATGACAGCATTTATGTTCAGTCATAGCGGTAACGACCTTATTCGAAAATAATACAAAGTCATATTTTAAAATTGGAAAAATTGAAAATAATAATCCCAACTATTGCCAGTCCGCAGATAATAATCCCAACTATTGATTATTTTTGTATAATCCCAACTATATGGACCGTCCGCCAATAATGGTCCATGACCAAATATTACCTCCTATAAAAAGTGAATTTTAAATAGAAATTAAGCGTAAAAATTAAAACTTGGGATTATTTATAAGGAATACTTGTTATATCTTTTCTCATCCACTTTAAAAACTACAACAATTTATTTATAGGGACCATTATTGGCGGAAGGTCCGTAAAGTTGGAATTATTCTGAAATAATTGATAGTTGGAATTATTATAGGCGAACCGCCAATAGTTGAAATTATTACTGTTAATTTTTCCAAAATTGAGAACATTTGTATTCATATTTATTTAAAACAACTTCCCTTACAAGCTACTAGTAATAATTAGGTATGGACTCGGGCCGGGCGGCCCGACCCGGAACCGGCCCGGCCCGGCCACTGTAGCAACCGGCCCGGCCCGGTGGCCCGGTCCACCGGCGGTTCGGGTCGAACCGGCCCGGTGGTTTCCGGTTCCGGGCCCGGGCCTTCCAAATGGTGAACCGGCCCGGCCGGTTCGGGCCCGGTCCGGGCCGGATTTTAATTTTTTTTTTTTTTTTTGAATTTTTTTTAAAGTTTTGGGTTGGAATATGTATTTTGGGCCATTTGAGGTGGTTTGGGGTGGTTTGGGGTTGAGGGGGAGGGGTAGGGGATTAAATAGGAGAACAAAAAAAAAAATTAAGTGGGCCGGTTCGGCCCGGCCCGGCCCGGTTTGGCCCGGAACCGGGACCGGAACCGGCCACCGGCGGTTCGGGCCCGGGCCTCCCATTTCCTGGCCCGAGGCCCGGCCGGGCCCAGGCCCGAACCGGGCCCGAACCAGCCCGAGTCCAGGCCTAGTAATAATGCATTAATGCCAACAATTGTGCTTCGCACTGTGTAATTCTTTTGAAAGTATTATTTTGCTTGGTTTCATATGATTTCTTTGAATTTGATCTGTATTACGAGTATTTTATAAATCTGATTTATCTATATTGATTCGTGCGGAATTGCCTAGTTGATATCCTGCTAATTTTTTATAGGAGAAATTTATACTAATAATCCATACTTTAGTCCGTTCTACAATATTAAAGGAATATTACCCGAAATAGAACTAAAAAAGTTTGAAAATTACAAAATAGGACTATCATGTTTTTATTTTTTAAGATAAGACTAATTACTGTCATATTTTGACAGTACCAGACTTAAAACATGGCAGTATTTTTCAAACTTGACAATAATTACTCCTACTACTATCAAAATAAAAAAGATGACAAACTGTTTTAGTCACATGAACTTTCCCAATATTAATCCATACTAGAAATATTAATGAAAATAATCCAAAGCGATAAAGTTATCCACGTAAGTACTTACTAGATGTTACCGTTTTATGTTACCCCTTACGCATGATTGCATGAATCCCACCATACATCATCTGCAGCCCTCCAGTATCTGTCTTCTTCTCATGGTCTTTATCAACGAAAAAACATCTAACAAAAATTCATTTAAGTTTTCTTCCACTCCCAGGGCGAGAAACCTCAAATACAGAACACCAAATAATATTGAACTATATTATCAGCTTAAAACTTTACGTACGTAGTATTATATTACTCACTCCACCCCGTAAAATAGTTTTCGGTTTCCTTTTGGCCCGTCCCAATAAATAGTTCTCATTTCCCTTTTTTGAAAGTTTTTTGTGGCTATCATTCATTTACTTTTTTCTTAGTCAACCACAACCACACACTTCCACTTTATTCTCACTTTCTTAAACTACGATCCAAATCAATGCGGGAACAATTTTATGGGATGGAAAGAGTATTATTTATTATTGTTACTACTGTCATCGCATATTTTCATCATCTTGTTTGATCATCGAAAACAGGGTAGAAGTTTTGTCACTAAGAATAGCTACAAATCATTCCATACTTGGATATGTGATCTTTTGACTTTTTTCAAAAGAGATGGATTTCAAATCACTTTTTTTTTTTTTGCAAATATGGATTTTAAATCAGTTAGGATTGGTGATTTAATGAAAAAAAAGAGGAGGAAGTGCTTCTAGCTAGGGACAAGAAGGTAACGTGAACACAGTGGGGTAGTGTTCTGGCGATCGGTTTGTGATTTGACTTCTTTTAGTTTCATCTATTCGTGAATTTTACCTTAATAATGTTTGAGCTACACAAAATGTGTACAGATATCTGTCCTTCACAAAAAATTTGTCCGTGACAGACAACTCAAAATGAATTATCTGTGATAGACAAAATTTATGTGAAGGACAGATATGTTACACATTTTGTGTACCCTAGCAAAACTCATTTCACCGTCTAAGACAAGTCTGACTCTAATTTTTTTTTTTCTCTACCGAGTACCGAATCAGTTGTATTTATTTCAGTTGATTTAGTTGGATACCAAATTAAATTCAAATGACCACGTCCTAATTAAACACTCCTCCGTCCCTAAATTATTTTTAAATTTCTTTTTCTTTTATTTGTCCGAAAATAATCTTCTTTTTCTCTTTAACAAAGAATGTGGTTCCCTGCTTCTGCTATTGACAATTGTTGAGTAGCAGTTCGGTTCCCTTGTGATTTTTTGAAGTACCGATTCGGGCGATAGCCTTGGTTCTTCGTGGCGTTATTGCACCGCTTTCATGATCACTCGGCTTCTTCGTGACAGAATTCTTAATGCCATCATACTATATTTTCAACGTTGATGATGAACTTAAGTACTTCCTCTATTTCAGAATTATCTTCATACTTCCATTTTCCGTCTGTCCCAAAAATATCTCATTTTTTTCCTTTTGACAAAGAATTTGTGATTCACATAATTTCTTAAACATTCTCACACATTTTTCTCTCCTCCGCAGAACTCTCCATCACTATTTTAATATCTGTGTCAATTGTTCTTCAGGAGATAAACATGAGACGGGGGAGTACCTAATAATTAATTAACAACAATGTGTTTATTAAAGAATGCAAAAAATCATTTTAATCTTATTATGTGCAAAAAATTATTTCATGTCGTAACGGCCTCAATACGCATCGTTGCGGCTGCATTAGTTGCAACCGCACTAGTCACAGTAATCGACTTCGCATTAGTCGCAACCGCTACAACAACCGCAATTTATTAAATTAAAACCATGATAGGAAGTAAATGAAAGTCATAAAACACCTGTTTTCCATTAAAGAAGCTCTAAATAAAGAAACGGGTCAGAACTTCAATTGATATTTAAAAAGTGGTTCTCTCTGGAGATTATAGATTACATGGAAACAGGAAATACTGAAAATTTCCTGTCATTTTAAAATGCAGAAGCAAAATCCTTCGTTTTTCAAGATCTTAGTAGGCGATTTTGCCTCTGCTCTGGTAAGTTCTCAAATTCTCCGTCGTACACAATCGATTCCGTTAATGCATGTGTCTAATTTGCCGTTACTTGCAGCGTTTACCACCGCTCTTTGTGGAGGTTTTTGGGGGAAAGCTGCCGCCGACGCTGTCACTCGAAGTGAACGCCGCCGCGGCGCCGGAGAAAAAATGGGCCGTGAAGCTTGAGAAGAGCGGCGAGCATTCCCTGTTTGGTGAAGGATGGGGTACGTTTGTGCGGGATAACGATTTGGCGGCCGGAGATTTCGCAGTATTCTGGCTGATGGATAACTACTCTACTTTCCAAGTTCGACTCTACGACTACACTTGCTGCGAAAAGCAACTATCACGACCTTACTTGAACAGGATCTGTTCTATAGGATCGTACCTCTGAATCCTTAATTTATCAAGCGAAAAGCAACTATCATCTTCCCGATTCTACCCGGGTATATACCTACAACCTACTCTGTGAGCAAATTCTACAAGTTTGAATCTTAATGATAGATTTTTTTAATCAGATGATCTTTTTTTGTAAGTAGTTCTTTTTATACAATTAATCTTTTTTTCTTAAATGTGGATTGTGTTTAGACTGATCAAGTATAGTGAACAGAGATTTGTATACAAACTTGTACAATTGTTATGCTTTTCAAAAGATTTTTCTATAACAAATGAATAGACATAGCTAAATCTGTTAATTTGAATCCGAATGAGTTTGTTATGTGTAATTATGAATTGATTTCAGGGCATATAAAAACATGTATATTGTTTGAAATAAATAGACATAGCTAATTCGATTAATTTGAATTGGAATGAGTTTGTTACGAGAAGTACAATCAAGGTTTTAAATAGTGTTAGCGGCAACGGTCATAGCGGTATGGTCATAGCGGTAGCTGCGGTGTGAAATATTTTAAAGCGCGCAAATCAAACCACATTTACGCATCAGCCACCCCACAATTAAGTATTGTTGACTACATGCATGCATCATTCACGCATTTGGACTGCAGTACACCGTTGGAGTCGGTGGCGGCATTGTTGAAGCCGGTAGCGGCGTGTAGCGGCCCGATGCGGCGTAGCGGTTCTGTCACAGTTATGTAGCGGATTTCGTCGTGATTCCAATTCACACCACTATAGTGGTGTGTAGCGGTAGCAGAGCCTACCGCAACCGCTATATAGCCGCCGCAATAGCAGTAGCGGACCGCTATTTAAATCCCTGAGTACAACAACATATGTATATTGTTCGAAGAAAATGTGCATGATTATAATAAAAGTATAATATTATAAAATGATTACAATAAAGTTTGTATGTCTAGATTAAGAAATGTATATTATTTTTCTTCATAAAACTACCATGTATCATACTTCGCATTACTAAATCTATTTCCAAGACGGGATCAGATTACTCTTGGTATAACCCGGTCGAATAGGTTGGACCGAATTTGAATTTTTAATATAAAAGTTTCTTTTTAAAAGTTGACTTTGCTAACTAATTGTTTTTTATATATAATTTTTTATTCTATAAGGTTTTAAATAAATTTGTATAAAAGTTTACACTTAAACTTTGTTAAATATTAATACATTTTAAGTAAATTACATGTTTAAAAATAATTTTATGGTTTAATTAGGGTCTAATCGGCTGTGACCTTGTTATTTCGAGTTTTGGCTCTAAGTAGTAACTTCAATAGTCTTGAACATAATTGAAAATGTTATGGCTTGTAACCTTTTCGCGTTGAATATGAACCAATCACTCTAGAGCTAAATTTGCTCAGTACTGCTACTTAGAAGAATGTTAAACTGTTCTACTCATACCATAAATTAGCAGGTGTAAGATCAACTAATCTTGATCGCAATGTAAGGGAGAAGAGAGGAGAGGAGATGGATGAATCCACTAAGTCAGTTGCCCTTCCACCCCGCGATAAGAAAGTGGTATGTATCTTTCTCTTGAGAGGCTACAACTCCATGTAATTTTATTTTAAGAAAGGATGCATTCCATTGTTTAAGTCTGTATCAAGTACTTACAGAGTTAGAGATACCACTTGCTGATTAAAGTTGCCCATAACGTAATTGTCAGAAATTGAAACTGAGAAAATTACCAAACTAAAACATACGTAGTAATAATTATGCACAAATAAGAGTTCAACTTTTCGTTAGGTAACTTAGGTTTAGTTGGAGTAAAAAAGAGTGTCCTGATTGCCTGAACTAACAAACTACTGTAGCTTTTGTCTTTGTAAGACGTAAATGAAGTGGATTCAGCTAAATGAATTGGCGCTTGAATTAATCAATCCAGTCGTTTGACACTTGAATTAATTGGGAAATCTAAACATTCAAACCTTCAAATACGCAAAGCCGTTAGAGTCGGAGAACGAAAAATAAAAGGAATCATCAAAAGCAATGGTAAAGAAATAAAAGCAAAACACAGAACTAAACTTGAGAACAACGAAATAAGAAGATACAATGGTGGGTTCCGACTTTGAGCCAACCGATCAAAACGTTAAAATAAAACGAGACCTGGTACGATTTTAGGCTGTTAATGTCAAATTAATTTGATTTTACTTATATGGAATTAGTGTCTAAGATATATGGAGATGTATGTTCGAATATTTGAACTCACGAATGACATTTTTGCTATTAATTTCATTTTTGTGTGATGAGTTCTTCACCAATGATAAATTCTGAGAGAAATGACTAATACATGATATAAATTTTTTGTTAGGGCCATATACTACTAATTAATGGTTCTATAAAGATTGAATATTTAAGTTATGCAAGTGTTACTCATGGAATTGAATACGCTGAAAAAGAGACCATATAATGATATGTGTGCGCTTATGTGTTTTGCAATTTATAGTAATGCGTGTTTGGAAACTAAACAGAGTGAAAGTGTTCTAAAGGATTATATTACAAAAAACATTTTGTTATTGAGTGCCATCTTATATGGTAAAATATGTCAAAAATCAAATGTATTAAACTAAATGTCATTAGAACGACAATCAAAGTACCATAGTGAAACGATGTGTAGTTAGAAAAGATGAATTAAATATGCATATGCTCTTTAAATGATCAGTGTATTGCTAAAGTGTCAATTCTTTAACATATTTAAAACAATTTATTCCTGTAGGAGGAGCTATTGAGTCGAAATGGCATTAATACACATCATACTTGTGTTTGTGAAAATCTGTCAAAAGGCAAACCTCATAAACAAGAGCATTGTTGGATGAGAATGCTAGAATAAAAGACTTATAGATGTCATTAGGATGGCAATCAAGTGCCATAATAAGTACCAGTTTTGGCAATGAAGTGCCATAAAGTAAATTTAGAAATGTTTATTCATAATAACTACATAATAATCATGTTTAATTATTATTACAGGCCATAACAAAGACTTGTGATAGTGGACTGTTGCAGAAGTTAGAAAAGCTTCGTGTGAACTGCTATTGCAATTTGAGTGAAGTAGCTAAGCGAATAAAGGTCCAACTCAATCAACAAGAAATAGAACAATTCAGAGACACTGTTTTCGGATGGATTCTAGACATAGAACATATGCCAAGAATAAGTGGGCAATTAAGCATAGCCTTTGTAGCGAATTACATCGAAGAGTTCAATGGGACAACTGAAAAAACTATAATAAGGTTTCACATAGGCAATAGCGTGATTGGTTTTACAAAGGATGATTTAGCAATAGTGACTGGCTTGAACATAGGGAGAGAATTCCCTAATATTCTTGATGTCCCAGGAGGGGATTTGTGTCGAAGATACTTCGGTAGTAAGAAAATAATACTTAGACAAGATATTATTCAAGCAATGGAGGAGTACAATTCTGAATATCCTGGGACACAAAAAGAAGATGGAATTAAACTAGCATTATTGTATGTGCTAGCACATGGTTTTCTAGGAAATCAGTACTCACATCGCTTACCGGGAAAATATATAAACTTAGTAGAAAATCTACATACTTTCAATTCTTACCCTTGGGGAGAGGATGTTTGGGATGACCTTGTAACCAATATGAAAAATAATGCGCAAGCATTGAAAATCTGCACAGGAAAAAGGGTTGCTTTCCCAGGTTGTATGCATGCTATACAAATTTGGGCATTTGAAACATTTCCAAGTTTGGCTAGTGCAGGATTGTGCAATAAATTAGCAGGGAAAGAAGATCAAATACCCCGAACTCTAAGATGGTCTTTTTTCAAAAAGCCATCAATAGAAAAGTTCTGTGAGCTCATCTTCAATAATATCGAGGTAAATGCAATGATATTACATCAAAAGAATTATGTATGTAGGTACAAACACATTTCGTATAAATATACTTTAACAAATAATATAGTAATATGTTAACTTGAAATGTTAATTTTGGCAGTTTGAGTGGATAAGAATGGTTCCAAGTGCAGAGGAGATAAAATGCATAGAAGGGCTTCGTGGAAGGGAAGGAAATGAAGCATTCCAGGACTTAAGAATTGATCTAGACAGAGCACAAGCAAAACAGAAGAAAAAGAATGCAGAAAAACAAAAAGGAAAGAAGAAAGAAATAGAAAGTGTTTTAGATGGCAGATGCAACAGAAAAAGTGCAAGGAATAAGAAATGTGAAAGCGAAAAGAACAAAGGAGAGTGTAGTAAGCGCGTATTGAGGAAAAAGGGGGAAAACGCGGATGATATTGAAGACTCTAGTTCCCATGAAAGTGAAGATGCGGCAAGGCCAGGAAAAAATATAGTGATCAAGACACTAGCCAAACACTCCAAAGACACCGCCAAAATACTTGGAGAGGTAAAAGAAATACAAAAAATGCAAAACAAACAGGATGCAGTTTTAAAAAAGATTCTATCTCTTGTAAAGGAATTATCAAACAAGAAAAGAAGGAAGCGGATCGCATTGAAGAGAAAGAGCAAGGAAGAGAAGTAAGCCATGATACATGTTTGATGAAAGATGGGAAGGATATGGAGCATGAAACGATGAAAGATATGATTGACGAGATGCATCATATTGGTGAGAATTGTGATCATTTGGACACAACTCAAATTGTAGAAAAGGAAGTAAAATAGACAGACGAAAGAAGCCATGACTAGGAAGAAGAGATAATGTTTTGGTAATTATAAATGATTTAGTTTAAAAAAAAAATTATTCTACGTTTATGGGTGTGACATGTTTATTTATTGTAGATGTCAGAAGGTGCGCCTCTACAAGACAACCGCTGGGTCATCTTTCTTTTTTGTTTTCAGCCACCCTTGTCACCAGAAAATTCACTAGAAAAGTGTTATTAGCGAAATCATTTTTAAAAAGTATTCAAATAGATCCGAAAAATCCAAAGGCTAAGGTGGTTTGGAGTTCATCTTGGCGAGGCTCACCTTCTGGTAGTCATTGACCCGGGCCGGGCTGGTTCCGGTTCCGGGCCGGGCCCGGCCGGGCTTTTTTTTGGGAAGGAAGGCCCGGGACCGGCCCGGGTAGCCACCGGGTCCAGTCCGGGTCCGGGCCGGGCCGGGCCAGGCCTCCGGTTCGGTCATATTTTTTTTTTTGCTTTCCTAACCCCCCACTCACACCCCACCCCCCAAACCCCCAAACCCCTTCTAACCATCAAGCCCAACTTGGCTAACCCCAAAAAAAGAAAAAAAAAATCAATTCGGCCCGGGCCCGACCCGGCCGGTTCGCCAAATACAAGGCCCGAGCCCGGACCCGCCCACCCCACTGGGCCTAGGCCCGACCCGGACCCGGACCCGAGAACCGGGCCGGTTCCGGGCTCGCACAGTGCCGGGCCGGGCCGGTCCCGGGCCGGGCGGCCCGAACCGGGTCCATGCCTACCTTCTGGTATTTTTCTTTTAATTTTCCCGACACTTTTGAAAATCGGAGTTACTATTAACCGTCTTTCTCGGGCGTTTTTAACGGCGTGACCCTCTTGTAATAAGGAAAATGGGCCACTTTGATAAAAAAAATGAAACGCATGACCTTATATGAAAACACGCTCAACCACAAGTATCTTTTCCTTACTTTTCCCTAAAATCTAAGTTGTCATAATTTTTTTATTTTAATTAATTCACTAAACTCATAAACTTTTGTAAAGAAAAAATCATAAAAAATTAGCAATGGAATTAATAAAATATATAAATTAACCATAAAAAATTAGTAATGGATTTAGCAATGGAATTAATAAAAAATAAATTAATGATTTAGGTCGTACATTGATAGTTTTTAATCATTTGAACCCTATACTCAAACATTTCATTTTTTCATGTTGCCACTACAAGAAAAAGGTCCATTAGCGAAGGGAAAAATGGTCACAAAAGCATATAATATGGTCGCAAAAGATTATTTGCGACCACAAAATGTGGTCGTGTGTTGGTCCCTGTTGCCCTAGCCGCAAATGAAATTGTGCGACCAAAAAAGTAGGTGGTCGCTAATACATTTTGCGACCAAATATAATGTGACCGCTAATGATACTATTAAAAACTACATTGTAAAAGATTCTGCGACTAAAAATCCTAAATTTCATTCACATATCTTCATATTAAAGATAAAACACGATAACACTAAACATTCAAATACTCCCTCCGTTTCAAAATAAACCTCACGGTCAAACTTTTTGGGTCAAACTCGTTAAACTTTGACCGCTTATTACTCAAAATTAATAATATTTTATCCCAAAAAAATTATATAATATGCTTCATTGTAATATGTATTTTTCAAATGTCAATTTATTATAGATTTTATATGCATATATTAATAGGAAATTACGGTCAAACGTCCGCCTAGGAGACCGCAAAAGTCAAACTGTGAGGTTTATTTTGAAACGGAGGGAGCATAAAATATCCATTGTAGATTACATATGTTATACTTTCTTAACATCATACGGAGTATCATTTTATGACAATTGACAAACCGTCGTTGGGCGAAAATTCCACAACTATGAATAAGAGGAAAATATTAACAACTACATGAATATCCTACCGAAACCTATGTTGAAAGACCCGAACCGGACCGGGCGGGTCGACCCCGAACCCGGTCACCCGGACCGCAACTGGGATGGCCCAAACCTGGAAAATCAGCAGAACCCGGAATTATTTGCAAAAAAAACGCGCCGCAGGGCTTCGAACTCGAGTGTTTCACCTGAATCTTATATTTCCCAGTTCCAAACCACCAAACTACACAAACTCGTCTGCTCATGTTGATGTTTAGAAGTATATACGGAGTATTAGATACGGAGTATTATTGAAAGCTTAGTGTTACTTGATAAATACTATCGTAACAATTATAATAATAACAATCATTATTACTAAATGCTTTCGGTCTATACATTAAAAGCTAAGAATGACTGAGATAAATAATAATAATAATAATAATAATAATATAAAATATAACAACATTAATTCACTCTATGTATTACATAGACTTATTATAATAATAAATAATAAGTAAAGTTGTCTATATATAATAATTATTTTTTCTAATAAGCATCATACTTTTTTTCCATTTAATTTAAAATACATTTTTATTTTGTAAAACCTTGTATATTTAGAATAATAACTTAATTTCAATGTTGACCGTGTTTTTCGGCGTTGACCGGGTTGACCCGCCGGGTCCGGGTTGACCCATGACACAGTTATTTGGTCGGGTTGCTTCCCGGTCCGGTTTTTACCACATAGACCGAAACCAATGAAATGGGACCTTTAAAAAACAATCAAAGTTTTTTAATTTTTACCAAATGAGAAAAATCATTAATGACCAAAAGTAATAATACAATTACCACATACAAAAGTGTTTCTTGTTTCAATCTTTTTTAGATGAAAATGTAGTTACTAAATAGAAGTGGATCACCCCAGACATCAATTCCATGCGTAAATTACACCGTACAGCCGGCTGTACCGTGCGCACGGTACAACCGGGCTTTTTGTTCGCTGGTCGCTGGGATCTCCACCTCTGCCGCTCGAATCTTGTCTCTTGCTTGTCGATGGCCTTCGCTCGTCGATCTGCTCGCGGCGATGGAGAGGTTGTGAATGGGTTGCGCAGATAATGGCTTCGCTCGGGCTATGGATGGATGGATTGCGCAGATGCTGGGAAGATGACGCTATGCTCCGCTTTCTTTTCCTCTTTCTATTTTTCTGATTTTTTTTTTAATTTGGTAGCTTTTGGGTTAGGCGACACCTAAATTGTCACGCCCCGGCCTGGCCGGACGCGCTAACAACCGCCACATAATCCGATTAAGGCAACCGCAGTTCACCCTACTCGAACAATGCAAGGCGTACATGAATACCATTCACACTAGTACATCCATAAACAATCATAAATAAAGCATTTCAAATATACGCAGCGGAATACAAATATTTTTTAAAAGTAAAAGGCCACACAGGGCGAACATGAGCACGCAGGCTCCCAAATCATTTATAATTTAAAAATAGTCCATGAGCATTATTTTATTTATATCAAAATAGAACTGGAAGAAGCACGAACCACGTCTTCTCTCCATGGATCACCCGAAGCAACGGGAACAGGAAGCAAGCTCTAGCTTCTACCTGAAACTGTGAGGTGGCCTCCCCCGTGAAGGGGAGGTCAGTACTTGGAAGCATTTGACAAGTACAATGACAACTATACTGAATATAATTCATGTTTCAAACACAAGACCCTCAACATAGGGTGATACTATATTATGGGCATAACCTACAGCTACCCCATTTCAAATCACTTGTATAGAATATATATACCAAGTCAAAATAGTCAACCCGTAGGTTCATTTTTATTTCAAAACAATTCCCTTTGTATAGCCCTTGGCCTATTCATGCATAAAACAATCTCGGGAGGTTACCCCACCCCTAGTCTAAACCCAACTCCATCGAGAGGGTTACACAATTTATCATTTGTACTCGTCCACGTTGGACTTACCCACCCTACGGGTGTATTCATTCATTTTGGGCTTACACCCCCAGCATAATATCTTTGATTTATTTAGGGCTTACACACCCCGTATATTCTTAGTTTGTGTAGGGCTTACACACCCCGCGTAATACTTTACTCATTTAGGGCTTACACACCCCGCGTAATACTCTACTCATTTAGGGCTTACACACCCCGCGTAATACTTTATCATGTAGGGCTTACACACCCTGTATAACACTTTATTCATTAGGGCTTACACACCCCGCGTAATACTTTATTCGTGTAGGGCTTACACACCCCGTATATATATATCCCCGTATACTCATTGTACACGAGCAATCATAATCTATCAACCTCGGGCTAGTCTTCATCAAGACTCCCCGGGCTGCCTTCATATAGTCTAGGTAGACTCCACCATTTCCTTTGAGTGTGACCATAGTCCATCACTCATTCTAAGTTCATGCCTATCTAATTCAATACTATAGATAGCACATACAATTAATCACTACGGATTCATATCACTTTGATCATGTAAATAACTCAAGTATTCCTTACTTCGCATTTAATCATTTTGCCTATCCACATAGGTATCCATATATCCCTTTTAAGATCTTATGGAATCACACATTTATCAACATTTGTCTATATCATGCTAATCCTCTATATCAATTCAATAATTAATATATTTCAAGGATTTCTCCCCTCATGCATAATGCCTTTGCTTATCCACCTTAGTAATATCATGTATCAATTTGTATCACCACATAGCAACACATTTATTCACATTGGAGTATATCATTTAATTCCATCAAAATCATAATTTGATTACTTAGGTAATCTCATGCTCAACTCACGAGTTATAGACAATATAGTCAGCCATCCTCACCTTATATATGTCCAGGAAGGTTGCCTATTGAAGCCCCGTCGTTAAACCTTCGATCGGGAATGATTTGAATCAATCTTGGCTGGCAGAGGGCAAAAGCCGCCCGGCTTTTGCAAAAGCTGCCCGGCTTTCGGGTTCTGCTGCACGAAAACAGCACCTAGAAGTGGCGGTTTCCGGCGATTTCGATTCCTATCGATTCAACAACTCTTCTAAGTTAATTACCAACTCTTTATATCATATTTCCACACTTTTAAACGTGTAGAACATCCCCTAGAATCCATCATATGATTTCTATAAAATCATATACGAAAACTATATAAAAAGGAAG